TCTCTTTCAATACATCTGCACTGTGTGTGTGTGTGTGTGTGTGTGTGTGTGTGTGTGTGTGTGTTGTCCAGCAGCCAAATCCTTTCTGGCCATTTTAGGTGTTATTGTTTTGTTCTGGAGCGGAGGGGTAACAGCTGGTCAGGACATGTGGTCAGACTCTGGCTTTTACAATTTCACAACGTCATATCTAATAATGTTGTTTTCCAATTTTATGAGCGACTCTAACATCAGCTTTTTCACATTAATGAGAGCTTCATGAGTGAGGTCGAATTTCACTTTTTATGCCTGCACTACGCCGTAATATCTAAGGAGAAGACAAGGGCTTCAACTATTTATTATTTTATCATTTAAAATGCAGATGATTCTAATAATCTGACATCTTCTTATTTGCTCAATGTCAATGAAAATGTCAAAAAATAGTAAAAAATGCCCATCGCAATTTCTCAGAGGTTCATTTGAGATTCATCTTCCTTCATGGGTTCAGAATATTGGACCTGATCCAAAACTTGTGGAAAATCTAACAGGACCAGACAGGCGTGACCCAACCCGAAATTCACCCAAAGACAGTAAGACACAATCTGAATAGACCAGAGCATAACTAGACCTGATCCCAAGTGCGGTCAGCCCAAACCGAAAAGGAACACCAGCAGTGGCAGCAGCGTGATGCAACACCAATTAATGAGCAGCTGAGATCGAAAAGTCATTGTCATTGTTCCCTGCTATTCACGATCTGTCTCACCCCAAAAAGTAGATTTTCCTCCTGTGACGATCATGACGAAGCGAGTAAGCAGAGCTGATAAAGAGGAAGATAAACTTGCTTGTTTTGTTTGACCAAAAGTCTAAATATTTAATTCATGTTTAATTTACAATCATATTAAACTGAGAAACGCAGAAATCCCTCCCATTTAACTTAAGAACTTTGAGAAGTCACAGTAGGAAATGAGAGGAGGCGAACTCTGTGTTTACATCGATGATGCTTGGTGCTCAAACGCAAGTGGAGGAAAACATTTAGTTTGAAACATAGCATTACTATCTTGTTACTGCTGTTTACATGCCCCCACATTAAAACTTTGCATTGCAGAATTATTTCTATGCATGTGTAAGATGAAGGAACTGAACTGCAAACTTTCATGTTGTTATATATCCCTTTGTTGTATGATGATGACTATATTTCCTTGATTCCTTGAAAAGCAAAGCTGTAAATAAGACAGTTAATGATTTAGTTCCAGTTTAATACTTCAGTTTCAGGGTCCCGGTATTGTTGGTGGTGGCTCACTGTCACACTATCATGACTTTCTAGGACACTTGAATAGAACAGAGATTGTTAACGTTATTAGCAACACCTGTGCTTTTCCTGTTATGACAAGTCAAAACATCTGCTGTAACAAAAGCCCATGCACTGCCGCCATAACAGATGACACATAACTGCTGTAATCACTGAGAATACCTTCCTCTCCTCCTCTTTTCAGCCGTCTCTCCTGAGTGCGGAGCCACTTCTCCCTCCACACAACTTCCACTCTCACAGCCTGCGCAGACTGCCCCTCTACCAGCCCCTGCACATCAGTCAGCCCATGCCGGTGTCTCTGAGCGTGGGTCAGCCCACCCTGCCGCCTCTCCCGGCCCACCACAGGGTCCTGCCCGTCCACACGTCCCTCTCGCCATCTCGAGTGCCACCTTTTCTCAGTCTGCCTCGCCAGCAGTCATCGTACAGGGTGGACCAGGTTTGTTTGCAAAAATGTTGATAATTTCGGCGGCGGTATTGCTTAGATCTCCAAACGCATGTTTATCGCAGGTTTGTAGCTTATAAATCTTCTTGTAATACTTTAAAATGGGAATTTATTTTAGTAGACCACCGCTTTAATGGACCATATAAATGGCATAGCCCATTAAATTCCAGTTGTGTATATTTTACTGTACATTACTCCTGACCTCTAAACCATACCACAGGTTTCTATGTTAATTCTCTACAACATATTTTAGGCAACCATCAGTTTCATTTGATTTTAATATTAAAGTATGACAGTGAACCTGCTGAGACTTGAAACTTTCTTGAAACAGATAATAGTGAATTGTGATTTACTTTTCTCTATCAAAGTTACATTCTCATTGCATTGTTGTGAGTCTTGGGTGGTGCGTTTAGGAGCCTTCTGACATTTGAGATATACGTAATTTGCTACAAAAAGCATTGAAGATCATGTGATATCACTAAAAGCTCCAGAACAAGCTATGCTGTTAATACAACATCTCTGTTCTGGAGCTTTCAGTCATATCACATGATCTTCCTCAGCAGATGAATATGCTTTGTAATTATGTAGGGTGTTTGCAGAGTAAAGTAGAGATAAAATTGATTGGATGAATTAAGTTAATGTTACTTGTATAAAGTTACATTTTTCCGTGTCGCTTTTGTGTTTTGGGGGAAAAATGTGTGTTTACCATGCTGTAACAACTACAAAACAAAATATACATGGAACAAATACAAATTTTCCTTCGAACGCACAGATGAGTTTTAAAATCAGTCCCTGTTCACACTGCATTACCACATGATAGTAATGTAACTCAAAATAACTAAAGCAGAAGAAACGCTCACTGTGATGGATTACCTATGTCAAGCAAAATTTAAGTCTCAAGATTTTCACACCACAGCTACTGAAATTAAAAGAAACCAGTGGAATGGAAGGTAGGAAATAAATCTGAAAACTGAGGAACTCTTTAAAAACGGTCCGCAGCCAGTAATGTAAAATATATGCAAATTGTAGTTAATGGTCTAAAACATGTACAGCTACCTGCAGGGTCATTTCAAAAGGCTGTGGTAAAGTGCCGGATACTGGAAACTCACTGCATGTCTGCACTGCAGTCGGCTTGCTTTCCCACATATCGACAAGCAAAATTCAATCCGTCTCCCTCTTGTGACCCGACTCCTGAGTAAGGCGCTGCTTTCGGCTGAGCCAGCAGTATTGGACGCAGTGGAGATAGTAAATCCATCTGTCCGCTGGATTTGGTGGTGGATCCAAATCCTGATACGTTCCTGTAGCAGCGCAGCAAGGAGGGTTGTGTCGGATGTCGGCACTCTGTGAGCCGCAGCAGGGTGCACGGGTAATTGACAGATGTACGCTGCTTTAAAAAAACATGGAAGACTTTAGCTTTGGGATATGACACTTTCTCTTTGTCGGATAAAGAGCATCACATAATCCCAGATGTAAAGCCAGAGCATGAAGGACTTACAGGGAGGCGTGCAGAGATCCAGTTTTCATACCTCCAAGGTTAATCATTCAGGTGAGCAGCAGCAAAGTAATGAAGTAAATTTACTCAAGTACTGTACTTAAGTACAGTTTTAAGATACTTTACTTTATACTGCTACTTAATACATCTACTCCTCTATATTTCTGAGGCAAATGTTGTAAGCTTAAGTTTACTCCACAAAATTTATTTGACAGCTTTAGTTACTAGTTACTTTTCAGACTCATCACCTACTTTGAAACACTGTCTGGTGGCTCCTTGTCATGTTTCAGATCTCTGTGAGTTGTTATCAGTTCCACCAAAGAGACATTTCATCCTCTGAACGTCTCAGATGATTTCAAATAAATAACTGTTGGAGGCCCAATGATGTAAAGTGATTAAATATTTTGCAAAAAAAAAAAAGGAAAGATGTAATACAGAGTTTTGTAGCGGAACTTCTTCCTTCCTCTACCATAAATCATCTGTATATAAAGTAGTTCCATCTCGACCAGATACAACAGTAAAATGCTGCTTACATATTGGTGAATCCATATTAACAATTAACTGTCATGTAAGATACAACATTAACCATTTTTCTGTAGAACCAGTACTTACATTTTTAACACTAAGTACATTTTGCTGATGATACTTTTGTACCCATTACTTAAATAGGATTTTCAAAGACTTTTTCTTGTAATAGAGTATATTTCCATTGTTGTATTGGTACTTTTAAGTAAAGGATCTGAATACTTCATCTACCACTGAGCAGCAGAAGCAACTGGCATCATATCCAGCATTGCAGCGTATCACCCTTGATTGATATGAACGTGTGCCAGCTGAAGATGCACTTTAGCTGAAAGGCCACTGTTTGCTTTATAAATAGGCTGCTCACTGACCTGCCAAAACAATGAAACCCTGCTACCTGCTAATATCTACTAGCTCATTTTGCTGTAATGAAACAGATGGAGCACGTACCGACGGCAAACATACTGTAGGTCAGAAACAGGAGAGGGGATTTCTGTCGAGATTTAATAACGGGCCAGCAAGGACATACAGGACATCAATCTTTAAATAGAAAGCGTATTACAAGCTTATTGTAATACTTGACACAACCTCCCCTGCTGTCTGTGCCAATATGTCTTATTTTAAAATACTGTTTTGCAGGCTATCTTATGCCTGCTTGCAGACTGCACCCCATTAAATGTTGAGGTGTTTCCAGGGGAATAAAGCCTATCCTGCATTTATTACAGTGAGGCAATACATGAAAAGAAAACAGTGTGGGAGCTGAAAATGTTCACAGATCTGCTTGCTATTATCTTGTTCGCCCGAAGGAAAAATACATATCAGATACCTGCAGAGTCATATAAATATGAGGCAAATAAGCCCAAACCCTGTTCAGGTGCTCTGCAAAAGCAGGCTGCAGTATCACACTGCTGAGGAGTTAAAAACCATGCCTTTCCAAAATGTCATCTTTTCTGGAACTTAGAAAAATAGCTTTGTTTTTGGCCAGACGACCACGCATTTTTCAGTTCCTCCGGTGGGTTTTGAAAGGTGCTTGTAAGCCCAAGGCTCATAGATCTTTCTCAAGCCGCAGAGGACAGTGCAATCTTTCATTTTGAATTAAGACATGTGAACACCACCAAGACTCCAGTTACAGTGTGAGGTTTTCTGCCAAGAGCGGCATTAGAATGCACATGGGTCCTGGATTATTCTTGCATTTGAGTGGAAGCATCTGTCCGTTTACATCTTTGTTTTCTTCTGTACACTCCCTCGAAAAGCAGCCTGATCTTGTGTTTCTGGTTACTCTTCACTTAAACTAAACTGTCCATAACTTACATCTGTTTGTCAGGAATGAATGTGTGCTTAAACATCACAGTGGATGGTACACTGTATGTGAAAGTCTGTAAAATACTGTGAAATTCATCTAATGGGATCACGAGAATCCCCTACTGTGTATGTTTTATTACCCCCAAACTCTCACCAAGTAAGAACAGTATCCATTTGGGACTGTAGTACAGATTCTGAGTAAAACAGACCTGCTGTGCCGTTAACGGAGCTCGATCTGATTAAAGCATCGTAACATTTCAACCTCTGTGGGGCACCTTGTGTTTTTAACTTCATCTGGAGAGCTGCGGGCTGTTTTATGCAGAGAGTTTTGCACGTTTTGAGTTTGTAAAAACATTTTTTTCTCCGTTAAGAGCTCCTACAGTGCACCTTAGCTAATTAATATTGTATGGCACGTTTTATTGGCTACCAATGGTGTGACTTGTGATACTATGAAAATGATATTATATGGATGAAATATGTTATGTTTTAAATTGCTTCTTAATTTGTAAATCACTGACTTTTTATATAGAGTTGAAACAATTAGGCGACTAATCAGTCAACAAAAATTGATAGGGAAGTATGTGCATAATCAATCATTTTAAAACCAAAAATGCAGTGTCAATATTTATTATTTTTCTTAGTCCTCTATAATCAATTCTTTGGTTTAGAACTTGTTGGTCTGACAAAACAAGCAATTTAAAGCTTTGATGGGGATTTTACCTATTTTCTAGAATATAGAACATTTTATAGACCAAATGAATGGTTTTATCAGAAGATAAACAGTGGATTAATCAATAATATAAAAAAAAGTTGCAGCCTTTATTTTACATTTCCCTCACTTATTTCAACTTGTAACAACACACTAACATACACTGCATGGCCAAAATGAATAAACCTGAATAAAATGTGTGGCGATCCAAACACTACATCTATATGTGATTGTTGCTCATGCTACATCTGCAGCCCCAACTCCTCTGGGAAGCCTTACCACAGAATTTTGCAAACCTGGCTGCAGGGATGTGCTCCCATATACCCATGAGAGTGACAGGCCATAAGGCCCGGCTCACAGTCAGCACTACCCAAGTCATCATAAAGGTGTTGGATGGGGGTTGAGGTCAGGGCTTTGTGCAAGTTCTTCCACACCAAACTCTGAATAACATTTCTTTATGGACCTTGTGCTGACGGGGACTTTGGCGTGTTTATGTTAATTGGAACTAAGGGGCTCAAACCATGAAATACAGCCACAAATCATGTAAATATGTGGACATTGGTGTCTGTTCTGCAGAGTTGTGCTGATGTGAAACCTTGCTGCGCTTGAGTTCTCTGGGTCACACAGAAATGAACACTCTTTATAACTGTAAGTCTGTATGTTGAAGTCCTGGCTGCATTCATGAATGTTTTAAATCTTTCAGCTCTCTTAAGTCGTACCTAAGCATGAGGTGGAAAACTTTTTTCCTCTGTGCTCGTATTACTTGAAGTTTGTCCATGTATTCCTCTTGAGTGTGTATAATGGTGTCTGTGTGTGTGTGTGGGTGGGTGTGTGGAGGTTTTGTATACATATGTGCGATGGTAGCTGGGCTGCAGGTAGCAGATGTTTATCACTGCCTCGCCTCCTTGCTGTAGATTAGTAACACATGATGGCACCTCATTCAGATAACCTTCCTACACTCACACAGCACTGCCACAGAGGTGGTGGAGACGGAGGAGGAAGAGGAGGAGGTTTGGGATTCGTCTCCTGCTAGCTGTGTGGAATTCAGAGAGGATACTGATAACATAGTGCCCTCTAGTGACACGTGTCTGCTTTTGTCTCCAGATAGCTCTTAAACAGATAGTCCATACTTAAAGGGACGTAGCCGGTGACATGCTAGATTAATCAGGTTTCCTGTGAGCCAAGATAAGAGTAATGTGCTCTGCTGTGTTTTTTAAATTAATGTCAAATAGGTTGTTTTATTGATTCTTTAATGCCAATTTAATACAGTGCTAATCTGCATTTGAAAATCAGTTAATTCAGAAAAAATGAATCATTCCTCAAAACACATAAACCATAATCATGTACCTCTGTGCAGTAAATACTAGGCAGTTTAAATACATGACTTCTGGCTTAAAAATAGACAAAGACAATAAACTTTTAGCTCTATTCTTCTTCATTTTATAGACTAATACCGAGCTCATATGCAGCACTGACCTAATGGACTGAACTTTCCTTTCTTCTCCAGGAGAAACCCAGGCCACCCCAGAAACCCTTACCTGCAGACCCACTAGGGAGGAGCTCTCGGCTCGGTCACAGCGCCACGGCAGCCGGGGTCCACACCCTCGGAAATGGACCCCTCCCCATACCTATCCCCACTGTGCCCAGGCCTCCACCCACCATCCCTTTACCCAGCAGGTCGGTGCAGGGATCACATGTCTTTATAGCCCTTTGAGTTACAAGGCTTGCACAATGTCTGGCACCTGGTGGCATTTGAGAAAAGAAAGAGATAGATTTTAAGTTGTTTTTTCATTGAAGCCCTAATTAATGACCATCATAAGGAGGGACACTTGCCCCCTCTTCTCACTAGTGACTGTCCTAATAAATGATCCCATCAGTTTTCTCTTTTTTAGACTCACATTGGGAGTGCTGGTCTAATTATTATTATTGCTACTTTTATTATTATCAATCTAAGAAAGACCTCCTCCACAATTTAAAATTGTCATATTTGCATGGTTTCCTGGTTTATTAGAACCACTTTTAATAAGTGGTGATAGTTAAGTGATAGATTTATTACACTGCCTTTTAAAAAAGCTAACAAGACATGCCTTTAATATCTCTCTATGTTTAACATTGTGCTGCTGTAGCCTTTACATGAATCTAACATCAGACTTGTGCAGCGTTAAAAGTGTTACTACATATTAAAGGTGCAGGTCTGACATACGTACATGAATAACATGCTTTTGTTTATGTTTCAGACCTGTGCCGATGTTGCCCTATAGACCACCAAAGAAGGACTGCTGAGCTCTTGACATCACGGAGTGGATCCGTCCACTAACAGAGGGATATTTTCTTGATTTGCACTAATTACTGAGACTCTGTAAGACCTTTTGGACACTAGTATCACAGAGTTTCTAGTGAAAGGGGGCAGACATCACATCTCGGTGCTACGCCTCTAAAAGGTGCTTTTTTGTCCTCGCTCAGGTACCAATGAACTATTTATCTATTTAACTATTTAACTTCAATATTAGCAATCTCTGAACGGAGCACTCTGATCAAGAGTGACTTTTCCCCGTGGAAAAGCTTAGAAAAGAAGGAAACATTTCTTTAAGGTATTTCTTTTGCATTCTTTGGTGATTTTTATACTTTTTTCTCAAATGAAATGCTGAAATATATGATGTTTTTATAACTAGGGAAGTCGCTTGAATAATTGAAGCGCAAAAAAGTTTGTTTTTGGGACTAAAATGAAGATAAGGGAAATGGAGCACAGCTCAGCAAGTTGTCAGTGTAGCTTGTGGGCCATAGAGCAGTGTTATTTATTCTGTTTTTCATATTTTTATGAGGTATTGAATACCAAACACATCTTTTCTATTCATGTCGCCACGGTGCTACAAAGTAGATATTAATCAAATGTTTTATTAATTAAACACATGCATTCATATTAAAGCCTCGGACTACACCACTTTTCTTGGGATTAATCCGCTCTGCTCATTTTACAGTCTCGCAGTCAGGCTCCTTTATTCCCTTATAAGTTCACTTTCTCAGTCAAGTACAAAAGTACTTTTCACACGTTTCAGACTGGCTCTGACACACTGCTCGGGGCATGTGTTGGACGCCCAACATGTTTTCCTGATAACTGGCAGACGCTGCGGAGTCTCAACAGATTCGACAGACTGATTGTGTTCCAGAGAATTACACCAACACCAAATAATTCAACATTAACTCTGGTGTTTGTATGTTTAACATTTACGCTCACTTTGTCTCCGAGTGCGCGAGCCAAGAGGAATGACTTCAGCGCTGTGAGCTTTCCAATCTCCTCCTCGACTGTGTCCAACGAGATGTTTTACCGTATCTGTCCCGTCTTTCTGTTTTTTTTGCCTTCATAACATTCCTTTTGGATTTTGTACGGTTGTGTTATTCCTGAACTCTGAGATTATTCATGCATTCACAGCATCGTTCATTAGATTCAGAGCTTGGCGTTGCACTCTGAGTTAGGCAATTTCCTTGATGTTATTTGTTGTTGACTTGCTGTTACACAAGAAGGGATTCAAACTTTACAGCGCTGTTACTTTTCCTGTGTCAATGTTCACTTTGGCATTTTTATATTTGCGGTGTACCCAAATACAGTGCTTGTTTTCACACCAATGCAGACCGATTGAAGCCAGTAAAGCCCTGCATACCTGCGTTGCATTCGTGTACAGACGTGTGCAAAGTAACGCTTTTTCTTGAGACGTATTCGACAGTCAGAGTAACTGCTCTCCGCTGGAAAATGTTTGTCAGTGCTGTGTCGATGTTTATACCATTTGTAAATCCTAAATGTAACGTGTTTATTTGCATAACTGTAACATGTTTGAAAGCCATTGTAAAGTGTAAATATTGTATGTCAGTTATTATCATTTCTCTTCTTTGTTTTTGTTCTTTTTTTTTACAAGCACAGTAAGAACTGCTTCGACGCCGTGCCCCGTTTACACTGGGTGGTGAAAACGTAGAACTCACAGACAAATGAGAGATTTTATTGATGAAATCAGAGCCAAATAAAAGTACCTTTATGACTGTTTACAATACATTGTTTTAATTTCAATTTCATTTATACAAAAAAAGAGAAGAGAGAAACTGTTTAAAACCAGAAGTGGCTTTTAAAGAGATAAATAAGGGTTCATCAGGACACATTTTCACAATTTGATGGTGATATATGAATAATTAATTGACTTGTTTTGCTGTTGTTATTGTTGTCATTCTGCAAAATGTGACTCACCCCATAAAAAAGTCAGCAAATAAGGAATTTAATCATTTTAATGTTCTTTATTTGGAAAAAATCCTACTGTATATGAACAACTGGCAACATGTGATACTTAAAAATCCAATGAACACACAGCACTTGTAAGAAAACAATTAGACTAAGATGCTTCCTCATGCTTCCCTCCAGCAAGCAGCAACTGTGATTCTTAGTGTGAGCAAATGACTCACAACACTTCAGGTGTGTGTATCTTTTTGTCAATGACTCTGCAGGAAAGCCTGTGCATTATTGTCCAATACTGCCACCTGCCACACAACACTGGTTACTACAACCACTGCATGCTCCCCTCCCTCCCTCCAGCTTTATCTCGTTATCTTGCCTTAATGTGCTCCCTCAAACCACAGGGTGAAGTTGCCCTTCAGTGCTGATTAAGGATCCGATCCCCCTTTAACACTTGCTAACTTAGACTATTACTGGGGATGAATACAAAAACAGGAAACGCTGTCCTTTAGAGTGAACTTAAAAATAGGATAAAAAGCAACCACAGCTAATTTGTGCTGTTTTTTTTCCCCACGAAAGTAGTAGTAGTAGTAGCAGCAATAAAGTATGGCATATTAAAAATGAAGGACTAAGTGTGTAAAAGTATGTTAGGTTGCCAGTTATTAGCCACTAGTGAGCGCAAAAGCATTTCCAACACTTCCTACTGAGGTTAGGGGGACGGAACAGTTAGACATTTTGGGGAATTTGTTTATTCGCTGTCTTTCCTACTATAACTGCTATACCACTGTCATTTCTGTCCGGTAAGTTGAAGTATACTTCCAGCAGCCGTGCCGCTAAGGACATGGGGGAGGGGAGCTGAGTGAGAAATGCTTGACACCAGAGTTGAACCAGTTGCCAGGCAACCAGCGTAACGTTTTTACCAAATTATCCGGCACGTCATGTTACCGGGCGTAACCACGCATTCAGTATCTGTCCCCAGCAATGTACAGTAGAAAACATGTTAAATATGCCCTATCTTTTTGAGCGCTGTTTCTCGTTATTTCCCATTATTTTTATATGTATATTTCAGTTTGCTAAGGAAAACATTAAGTGTGTGACTCCCCCCCCCCGACTTGGTTGCGCCCACTATTGTTCATGGTTGCCAACTTAGTGACTTTTCACTTTTCAGACTCTCTCAGCAACTTTATTTCTAAAAAGCCACTAGCGACTACTGTGTGTAATGTTTTATCCATTGGAAGCTATCCTATCCGCTACAACTGGAAAATGTATCATTCTAATTAGGTATGTTTAAAGTCAGTAAACAGTAAGCAACCAAAATAAAATGGAGTCGCAGCCATTATCTCAGTGGATATATTCCTTTAAATATGAATTCAAAGGTCAATATAGTCATCAAAACTGTGTTCTAAATGTGCACATTCCCATAAATATCACCTAATTGTGGGGAATACACCTCTGGTCTAGCTTTAAGCATGAAGTAAGTCATTGTAAGCACCTGCTGTCAGCAGAAACACATGTTCCTAAGGTTGTTTCAGGGTTAGCAGAATCTGGAGAGAAGCCATAAACTGTTAAAATAATAACGATGGACCATATATCCACAGGCCTCCATTTCAAATGTTGTTACCAAAGGACAGTTTTTCTTTTGTTCTTTAGACGTGGTCCTACAACTGAAAAGCTGTAGGCTTTTTGTTGGAGCACTAACACTGTGGAGGCTGAAAGTAGATCACAACAAACATTTGTGCTAACCTCTTCATTTTCTGGCACTTTTTCTTTTTCTTTTTTTTTTTTGGATGTAGATGTAGAAATAAATATGTGGTGTGTCAACCACTGAGCTAATCAGTTGCCAAATAAAACTACAGTTGATAAATGTATTTAACACTATTTACAGCTTGTGGCCTTTGTGTGTGAGCCAGTTCTCATTGTAAACACCAGACCCCACTGAGTGTCTGCCCATCTATCTCTGTTCTCACATCAGTGTGTGTGTGTGTGTGTGTGTGTGTGTGTGTGTGTCATCTGTTGATGACCGCACTTCTATGGGATTAGTGGCCACATGACAACACTGGGCTGGCCGCCTAGTGAGCCTTTCATTTGGCTTCACTTGCAGAGGCGGTCTGTGTGCTGTCCAACAGTTTACTGAGAGCTGGAGATTTCCAAACTTCATTTTTGGGGGATCTGTAAATGAAGTGTAAACTGGACAGATTGGGAGCTCACTTGTGATGGCACAGGACATTACCAGTTTAACTGGAGAGGACTATTTTGAGGGGAAATCCCCCTGTTGTTCAGACACAGATGCTTTGAGTCAAGGAGACAAAGAGTATGATGACATTTTGGAGCTTAATCAGTTTGATGGACTGCCATATTCTTCCAGGTTTCACAAACTGCTGAGAGAAAGGAAAGAGCTGCCAGTGTGGAAAGCAAAGTGTGAATTCATGGACTCTTTGGCCAAAGGACAGTTTGTCTGTGTCAGTGGCTCTGCTAAAACTGGGAGGAGTTCTCAAGTGAGTACTGTGTGGCATTTAATACTTTACATTCAAGCAACAGCAGATTTAACTTTGCTTCTGGGGGATATTTAAGCCTTCTTACTATCAACTTGTGGTGGGGCAGCATCTGTGATGTACACAACTTCTCTCACTCTTATTCTGAAACAGATTCCCCAGTGGTGTGCTGAAGTCTGCCTGTCAGTCCAGTTCCAGCATGGCATGGTGGTTTGTACCCAGATTCACGCACAGCAGGCAGTAGATCTCGCCTTAAGAGTGGCTGATGAGATGGATGTTAACATTGGCCATGAAGTCGGGTACAGCATCCCTTTGGAGACGTGTTGCACTAATGACACAGTCCTCAGGTATAGTAAAGCAGTAATGCTTCCTATGTTCAAGCGCAGATGCATGCAGTGTTTCTCTATCTGATTCTTTCTCTCCTCTTGGGGTTACAATGAAGCATGGTCCTGACACACACAGCTAAATCACCCCGCCTTTTCTTATTCTCTGGAGGGAAGTGAACAAAAGGCTTGAGGGGGCTCTTTTCAGGGTCTCCCCCAGCAGCTGCCCGGTTCCCTGTCTGCCCATATGTCACACTCCCTCATGTAGGTCCCTCATAAGTCAGCTGGGGAACAAAGAAACTCAGCACATTGAGGGGAGGGAGATAAGATAAACAGGCAGGCTGCAAGTACGAAAGGATCCACTCCCCAGACTAATTATCAGAGTAAATTACACTAATGGGGGCCGAGCTGATGTGTAGACAAAGTGCCTTTCATTAAGATGCCATTCGGAGGCATGCTGAATGGATTTTCTGAATATACTGTTCCACTCTTTTAGCTTAGAGGCTTGCAATAAAAGAAATCTGAGGATTTATTTCAGGCTGTTATGAATTTTAATACAGTGCAAGTGCCTCTGTGCACATATTTGCTCCCCCCCAACGTCAAAAATCATTTTACCACCCCCAACAGGTACTGCACAGACGACATGCTCCTGAGAGAGATGATGTCAGACCCTTTGCTTGAGCGCTACGGTGTGGTAATCGTGGACCAGGCCCACCAGAGGACCGTGGCCACTGATGTACTCCAGGGTCTGCTAAAGGACATCGCCCTGCAGAGGCCAGAGCTCCGTGTGGTCCTCCTCACAGCCAGTGAACCCGAACCCAAGCAGTTGGCCCACTTTACTGGGTCAGCGGCGCCTCTGATTCGCCTAGAGAGCCCGGGTGCAGGGGAGGTGGTGTACAGCAGCACAGGCGACAGCTACTTCTGCTCTGCTCTCCGTCTGGTGCTGGAGATCCACCACTCTGAAGAAGAAGGGGACGTGGTTGTGTTTCTAGTGACGGCACAGGTAAAAAAGAAAAAGCAGCACCGCACGACTAATGGATTCTGCTGTCTGAAAATGTGTCATCCTTTGACTCTCTTGTTCGTTTACTCTCTCAGGAGATAGATCTGGCCCATGACATCCTGTGTCATGAGGGACAGACCTTACCCCCTCATCTGGGTGGGCTCCTGCCCGTTGCCGTGCACCCTGGCCAGCCTGGGAATCTACCAGTGCTGGGAGAGGAGGAGACAGGCCGGACCCGCAGAGTATTCCTCACATCCAGCCCAAACGAGGACTTCTTCTGGGGTGTTAACTCAATAAGTGTTGTCATTGATGCCGGGCTTGAGAAAAGATATGTAAGTGAAATAAGAGTTAAAGTGAAGCAATTTAGAAACCCACCAGAAGTGGGCTTGGACATTTCAGGGTCTCCCCAGCAGGGCATTTATGCGCTGTTGCTTTAATCATAATGTAGGAATCAATTAGGGTTGTAACATCATGTATTATATTGCTCAATACAAAAATCACCTTTCAGTATAGAATACATGGTGAATAACACAGTTTACTATGTTTTTGTTCAGTGTCTGTGTTTGACATCATGTGTCTTGCAGATTTGTGTATTTTAAATGTTTCATTAAATGTCTTCATATAATCAGTGGAGTAAAAGAACAAAGGTATTATCTTGAGTATATATTAAGTACTTATGAGGAAAAGTGAAACTTTGAGTGTTATATTATTACATATATATTCATTTATTAATGCTGATGCAGTAATAACTAATGTAAGTAGCATTTTACTTTAGCAAGTCTACTTTAATCCGTATGCATTATATTAGATGATAATGTGTTTTGTATGTAAAATCTTCATCTGCAAAGTAACTAGTAATAGCAGCCACATAAATGTAATGGAGGAAAAAGTACTAAAGTATAAAGTGCTTCAGTAAATGCAGTAAGTTACATTTGGGCACTGTATATAATCATTGTCAACATGCTGTTACAGGTTTACAACCCCAGGATCAGAACAAACTCAGTCATCATTCAGCCAATCAGCAAAGGTCAAGCTGAGAGTCGTAAACAGCTGGCAGGTCCAACAGGTGAGAAAGTTACGAAACACTGTTAAATCTGTGGCTGCTGATTCCCTGCTGCTGTCCAGTCTAAAGAGGATCCGTCTGTCCTGCAGGAAAGTGCTTTTGTCTGTACCCAGAGGACAGACAGCTTCCTGTTGAGACACGGCCACATATTGTGGAGTCTGACATCACTTCCACCGTGCTCTTCTTGAAGAGGATGGAGATCGCCGGACTGCGCCACTGTGACTTCATGGACAGGCCAGGTGACGTTTACATAAAGGGGCTAAATAAACAGAGGGAAGATTCTTAGGGAGGTTTGTTTTGTTCCATAAATTTCACATCCTCAGTGATAATTAGAGTAATTTGGGGTTCAGTCGGTCCATTCCCTTTTGTTCCAGCACACAGGAACTTTATTTATCAGAGGGCAGTGAGCCGTGCTTCAGCTGAACTGACAGCTCCTGTTCTGCGAGCATCCTTTTAGAGCTGACCTGCTTCCGTGTGCTTTTGTTCCTCCGGATTTACTCACCCCCACTAACACACAAACACACACACACACACTCAGCCTCCCATTAGTTGATTAGAGCATAAACATAGTGTTGGTGTGTGGGAGTGTCCCTGTCTCTTTGTTTTCACTCGGAAAAAAAAACATGTTTGTTTGCAAAAACAGAATAGAAAATCTCATTTGTACCATGAAAGAGTTTTTCATTTTGCATAGTGATGCATAGCAGATGTTGCTAAGGATTATAAAATCCTAATCTTCTGATGGCTTTTTACTCCGAGCGTGCACACTAGGGTGCCGGTATACTATAGAGGGATTGTCCCAGTGGGTCACCACTTTGGATTACAGTTTAGACAGCATGACAACTGAAAAATAATCCATAACAGTTTTATTTAAAGGGTATTTGTATGTAATTAATCATCTCTTAGTTGAAATACTAGTCATGTACTGGGTTCTCTGTGGGATTTGGTTCTGTTTAGCTAAGGTTTAATTTTGTACAAAACTAAAACAATGTATAATCCAAAAAACCTTTCCGACCCAGATCCTGGAGGCCTAATGCAGGCTTTGGAGGAGCTAGACTACCTGGCAGCTCTGGATAATGATGGTAACCTGTCTGAGATTGGCATCATTATGTCTGAGTTCCCCCTGGAGCCCCAAATGGCCAAAACTCTGCTCGCCTCCTGTGAGTTTGACTGTGTCAGCGAGGTGGTCATCATTGCTGCCATGCTAACAGGTAACATGTGCCGGGCTGGCATTTGAGCAAATATTCATATTAGTATAAATATACAAAGAAATACCATATACATGTACAAAACCATGTTTTCTGTTATGTATCTTATCAGGTAAACAGTAAGTTATAAACATCAACTTTGTCTTGTGGATTTTTTTTAGCACCAACTTGCTTCATGGTTCCTCCTGTGGACCTGAAGCCAGAGGCAACCCAGAGCCACATGAAGTTCCAGCACCCTGAGGGAGACCACTTCACCCTTATCAATATCTACAAGGCCTTTAAACAGTGCCAGCAGGATCCATGTGAGTTCAGAGAGCATCATGGAAACTCACACACAGATTAGAATCATCAAATCAATTAACAAAATTAAAATTATAATAGGATTTTTATAACAATCTAAAAAAAATGTATTTGCCTCATGAGACACGGTAGAGAGAAAAAACTAAAACAACATGCATTTTTAAACATATATAGTTATAAGCATTATTTTCCCATCCCTATGTCTTCATCACTGATTCTGCCTTCCCACAATCCTCTTTGGCTCTGCCCTCTTCCCCCGGTAGACTGTAATGTGGAGAAGTGGTGTCTGGATTTCTACCTGAACCACGCTGCTCTGCTAATGGCTGACACTCTTCGTGCTGAGCTCACTGACACCCTGAAGAGGATCGAACTGCCCATCTCAGTGCCTGCCTTCGGTTCCCGAAGCAACACCCTCAACATTAAGAGAGCCCTGCTGGCAGGTTTCTTCATGCAGGTCAGGAAACAGCAACAAAAACACAGAAGAATTATTCATCAACTACTTTCAACATTTCAGCACCCAGAGTCCTCCTGAAGACCATAAAACTTCCCTAAGTGGAACTTATGCAGCGATGTGAAGTCTGCTTTAATCACGTATAATTATTTCTATAAGTAGTCCTTATAGAACTATTTATGTTTATTTAGAATGTAGGTGACTACAAATGTAGTTTTTATGACTATTAATCACAATTAAATACTTTATAAATTATTGTTATTTAGCCATAACTGTGCAGCCCTTCCACTTTGTCGCTTTAAGCGATACAATACACTGAATTGAATAGATTTTTATTCTTTAGCTGAATGTTCTGCTATTGTCAGATTTTACACAGTGTACTGCTTACACTTAACTGACACTTCACACCCATTCAGGTCTCTGGTCTTCTCCTCTGAATAACACCAAAAAGCTTCTTCAACTTTATTCTAACTTCATATGTTCATTCACAGTTTACTCCAACTGCTTTCACTCCATCTTCTTTTAGTTTAAACACATGAACCGGCACCATTTTCTTTCAGGACTTACAGTTCACCTGAAACTTCTAGCTCCTGTTTATTACATACACTTCGACTTACATTTCAACTCCTTTCGATGCCTGAACTTCCTCCTTCACCTCATTTCAGCACTTTAACGTTAACAACTACCTCAGCTACACTGAAAACGACAATTCCATTTGAACTCTGTCACTATTTGTATATTGTCTGACTCTGCCGCATCAACTTAAACTGTTTCAGCATTTCAACTATTTCAACTGCAAATTTCCCTCAGAGAATTTATCCTTTTATGTTTTGGCTTTTATTTTGTGGTATACTAATTCAAGGCAAAATCAAATGTATGACTTTACAGATACATCCTGCATTCAGATGCTCTGGTCTTCCTTATTTAAAAAGAATATATTCTTGTTAGTGACTCCAGTCCTTTTGTAGAAATCCATCTGACTGTACCTGGCTGTGATTTCCCTCAGGTGTCGCGGGATGTGGATGGATCAGGGAACTACTTCATTCTTACCCATAAGCATGTGGCACAGATCCATCCTCTGTCTGGCTATGGAGCCAAGAGCCCAAAACTGGCCCTGCCTGAGTGGGTGCTGTTTCATGAGCACTCCTTCTCTGAGGACAACTGCCTCCGCACTGTAACCCACATAACACCAGAGCAGTAAGTCTCCCCACTTGTTAACATTTAAAGTTGTGCACTTGTTTAGCATTCACATAAATGACCATATACAGGCTTGTTAACTAGACTGCAGTCTCTTGTGTCTTTAGAATAACCCAATAGACCATCCTAATATCTTCACATTTGAAGATTAAAAGTAATCAGAAAGACACATTCCAATTCCCTTTTGGACCAGATGTAAAGCCCCAGTTCAGCTGAGACTAGTCATGCTGGTTGTGAGGGGAGGTATCATAATCCTGTTCGCAAGTATCAGCTGGTTGGAGAGGGGATTATGGATTGCATAGATCCCTGGGAATGTGGAGCTGCAGCTTAATGGAGGAAGAGAAAGCTCTGCAGCTTTTGTCATGCTTTCTTAGGTTCCACATCCTGAAATGTGTGTTCAAATAATGTGAGGAGCAGATACTGTAAGTATCTGTAAGTACTTTAAGTCTTGTCATTCAAAACGAAAGCTCAAATTGAAAACAAGTCTGCACAGGGAAATTAAATTTGCAACAGTTACGTTGAGTGTGTTTTACTAACTTTGTCCTCTCCCCTGCTAGGTTCATTCAGATGGCACCACAGTATTATTTCTACAATCTACCGCCTAGTGAGAGCAAAGACATCCTCCAAAATATTTTGAACCACGGAGCTTCTCGATACCAAGAGGAGAAACCTTCAACCTCCCAAGAGGAACCCCAGGATGACCAGACTTATGACCGCTGTGTCATACAATGACTGACACCCACTGTTCCCAGTGGTGGTGAGGAAATAACCAGTAGGACTTACTGCACTATATTGCACATATTCACATTGTCTGGGTAGTTGTAAAACGGATCATATAATTTAATTTAATCAAATGTTTGCCACAATATCATGTCCTGCACTCATGAAATAAAATAATTGCTGTTATACTGATTTTAAGTGTCAAATTATTAATAGTTCTACTTAACCCTTCTATTTAACAGAGAAATATGGCTATTAAATTAAGAATAATTTCCTTATACTTGGTTTTATTCTCCTCCAGTGACGTTTCTAATTTAGTTTTCTCAGTCTCCACTGAACATTTTAATGATTCAGTGGCTCCACATCCTGCTCCTCCTCTCCCCATCTTACCTTCAGTCACTGTCCAACAGTCAGTCACCCACAGCACCGAGGGTCCAGCCTGATTAATGAGGTGCAGGGACAGTTTGGGCCCGCCTGCAGCTCCATCTGCCGTGGATACAGTTCAGTAACGGCGGGGTGACCCAGTTCACCGACACCGCATCAAAAACATTGTGTCCCTTCTTCATTGACCCGGGTCTGAACAGTGCAGCAAGGACCAATGCCAGAACCCACAGGGTACACTGTCGCCTAACCCACTTTTACTCTGAATTGTCTTTTTAAGGCAAACCAGCTGTGCACAATATGTAATGAGATAATTTAGTAGATGTTTAAATGTCAGGATAAATAAACGGAAATAATAGTCATCATACTGTATATTTGTTACCTAACTATCTGATTAAAATACATCTTCTAATTCATCTTAAAGGTAATCAGATGTGTCTATTAGGCCAAGAGCACATTAGTACAATATCATGAGAGTGAAAGAACATCTACTGAAACTATGCATAAAATTTAAAAACCTTTTATTTTCATGTCACAGCAAACCATGCTGATATAAAGTCACATTTATACATACAGCAATGTGGAAAAACTAGCCTCAGAGTTTGCATTGAATGTTGCCAAACTATTGCACACTTGTTTTGGAAAGCAAATCACAAGCTTAGAGCTTTTGTCAGCCATCAATCACGCTTCATTCTACTTTATTCACAGCATTATCGGTGTTATTGAATATCAAAAACACCAATTATATATTAAAATCAGTCTTTTTTTTTGCGTAGAAGTTATATGTGATTATACCATCTTTGAAGAGTTTCTTATACTGTATGTTTTGTTTGTAAGAAAAATGAGGCAATCCAGGTGATGGCTGGTACAGTCAGCAACAAACCCTATACATAGGAGTTTTACATACGACCCATAACTGCTTAAGCAATAAGAAAATTAAATAATATCTTCTCAATTTACAACTCTTTTCACAAAAAATGTACATTTCAGAACCTGTGATGCAAATGTTAGAAAAAGATGGAATCATTTTAAAGGCGCAGGAGGTGAAATTAGCTTTAGAACTGTCATTCAGAGCAGGGTGGTGTTGCCTGAGCATCTGCCTGTTAATAATAGTGTAAATTATTGTTTCCTGTTACAGCATTTGTGAGAATACAGTTGTCAAGTCTTCCCCATGGCGGAGCTTGGAGGTCCGGAAAGGTGCAGGGAGCAGAGTTAAAGTCGTGACTGTCTTCCTTGCTATGTCATCATCATGAATGCGTACCTGTGTCCTCACTTCCTGTTTGTGAGGTCAGCTGCTGCAGGAGTTCTATGTGGAGCTTGACACGGCTGGGGAGAGGTGCGTTTTTCTCAGCTCGCAGCAGCTTGGAGTACACATTCTTATAGGTTTTTAACAGCTCCTCGTCCTTATTGCTGTAATAAACATAAACGCAGGTCAGTGCGCATTATGAAAGTATGAAAGAATATTAGATACATACATACCTTCCAATACCGTGAACGGTTTAGGTTCTGGCTCACCTTGGTTTCCGTTTCATCGTCGTCATCAGTTTGATCAGCTGCAGCAGCAGGAAGGAGAAACTCGGCTCAAACACGCCAATTAACTTCATCACTTCCTCGAGGTTCAGTCCTGAGGGGGGGCCGCTGGCCACATCAGTAGACTCTGCTGATTCAGCAGGGTCTGGTTCACTCAACTACAGGACAAGAAGAGAAAAGAAAAGATGTTGCAGTTACAGTGTGTGATCCGGAAAAGGGCTGACCAAAGCTTTGCAAAGATGAATAAGCATTAGAGAGCATTCCCATGTGCGGCTCTGAGACTTTACCTCCGTCTGCTCCTCCAGCAGCTCATTATGAATCAGCTGGAAAGCATAACGAGTTTCTGTCATGATCTCTATAGCTCCAGTCAGGCTCTTCAGCTTAGCCACACTGCTGCTCTGACCTGTGGAAACACAATATAAACATTATCGTAAGAGGCTGTAGATAGAAATTCTATTATTTACTCCAATCTTTCTCTTAGGGTAGGAGTCGGTCCATGCACAATTAAATTCTCTATTTTCTCGATTCGCATTTGTAATCCACAACTATCCTAGCTAGGCAGAGTCGAGACTAGTAGGCTACTATTGAGGTTCGGAAAAATATGGAGGACAAGGCACCAGGTTAGGACATAACTTGTGTGTGTGTGTGTGTGTGTAATGGCTAAACATTTTTACAATGGCAGAACGTAACAATCACTTCAGACCTATAACAATGACAGATGAAAATGTAGGGAAAAAATATTCCCATTTTACCCCTGTCTCAGTGCAAAACCAAAAAATGTGAAAAGTCACAGTCACTGTGATGAACGACTACTCACCTGCCATAGTAAACTCAGCAAAGGCCACCCTCTCCAGAAGGGTGCGGAGCAGCTCACAGGGTGCATCTTTGAGGCTGAGGAACAAACAGACAGCCTTGCTGTAATGGAGCTCTGCCAGGCTCCGATGCTGCTTCCTCAAGTGTTCATCCCCCACCTGTCACACAATTAAGAGCCAGAAACACAGACACGCTTCAGTGTGTATTATGCTGCTAGAAGTATGAAATACATCCCAACACCATTTATAGTTAGTGTGTAGTTCTTTTTTTTATTAGAGAAAATAACACATTTTTCTTTGGGCATTAACAAGTCTACGTCAAAGGGTGAGTTCAGACATGTATCATTAGTACAAAAAAAATCCAGATATTTATAAAAATCTAATTGTGTAATGTTACATGGTTTCCCACCTGGTTGCGGAAGCAGCTGTGGTACATGGAGGCCAGGCGGTGGTGGATGGTGGCAGCTCTGTACTGGTAGAGCGGCTGACGAGCCGACTCAGTCTGCAGGTCACAGTACTTCAGGGACTTCATCATCGCCTCGGTCACCTCCCGCTCGATCTGGGAAAACACACACACACAGGGATGGATGACTTAAAGTTTGATCACATGTCTAGCTGTTAATGATGCAAAACAACTGATAACTTCCATATATAGTGGCTTTTGTCTGAAATATGCATATCATCAATTTAAATTTGTAAAAGGTAAGACCTCCAGGATATAAAGGTTTAACTTAATTTAAAATATTTGTTCAGTACTATGTGTTCAAACCCACCTGCTCCTGGGCCTTCCTGGACAGCGGGGCGTAGTCCTGCAGAAGTGTAGCCAGGGTGAAATAAGTAGTGGACAGCTCCCAGTTTACACTGTCCCACACTGCTGAGTGGCTCTCTCGGCTTGCCAGCGACTTTATAGCCCGCAAGTAGTAGTCTATGGCCTGGGGTAAGAATTTAATGAAACAAATGTAAGCCAGGGAAGGGTGATGTAGCAAGATGGATACATAAGAGATCACTAGGATTGCAAAAGAGTAAATCATTTTCCATTGCTTTAGTGTGAATGAGTGAGTGAAAGAGTTTGAGATGGCACCTTGTTGTAGTAGAGGGCCTCTTCAGGGGAGAACTCCCCTCTGCTCTGGTCGGCAGAGATGGCACAGTGGGCCTGAGCACAGATTCTCATGAGCCTGCCAGTGTTACACAGCAGCAAGGCTGTGTTGGTCCTGTCCCCAATGGCTTCAAAGTCCTTCATGCCTTTTTCAAAGAAGGCAAAACTCTTTTTCCACATCTCCTGCTCTGCTATGGACACCGACCTCTTCACTAAAAAGGGAGCAGGAGAAGGCCAGTTAGATACAGCAACATGGACAAAAAGGTAGGTAAAAGCCATTATGTAAGCACAATGGAGAAACACATTTGTATTACTTGCATACTCTCTATTTCTGCTGACCCTGCGGATGGTGCAAAGTGATTTTCTTTCTTTCTTTCTTTCTTTCTTCCAGTGCAAAGCATCTCAATTTCAAAATCACTCATCCAGGTTTGGAAATACTGAGCAAATTACAGAAATAAATACAGAAAGCTCTATCTATAAAATAAAACAAATAACTTATAATGTTATTGTACTGTTTTCTGTACACTTTTGGTGTTAGTGGCTATTGTCTATTAATCCAACACACCTTTCTCCGTCTGCATGGCTGCTGCCTGGTTCATGTGGTAGACTCCCATCTCATTGCGGATGTTTCCCAGCCTTTTGAGCACCTGAGCCAGCTGATCCGAGGCGTGATCTTTCAAGGCCTCAGAGACGAGCAGTTCATACGCTGCCTCGTAGCACTTACTGCTAACAAACAGCTGATACTCTGGGTCCATGGCCAGGTCTGTTGCCATGTTGAAAGCTAGTGGGTAGAGAGTAAAATGATTGACAAATGGAATGATCAGTAATTGAACAGAACAACTTGAAAAGGCAAGAAATGATAGGACACTTTTTTGGTACAGCAAGCACTATATATATACACAATATATATGTGAATGATGTTTTGGGACCAAAACGGATAAGAAGACACTGTACACCAGTTATGGACACCCCTAATTTCAATGCATCAAGCAAGAAAGCCAGCCATTGTGTGCTTAAAGATTTGTATGATTGTCTCTCCTTAGTGACTGACCCTGGCAACTGCTCTCTCTGTGCAAGCTGTGCAGGATCTCCTGGTCCTCTTTAGTCTGGTAGCTGTATTCCTCCAGGTAAGCTGCTCTGTTTTTGGCATTCTGGGCCAACATCAGCTGGATGTCCCCACACAGAGACAGGCACTGGCTGTGAAACTGCAGCACCTGTGGGTGCAGTGTACCGCTCACGGAGCAATAAGCATCTGGAGGAAACAATGGAAGAAAACGAAATGGGAAAAGAGAAATAAATGTGTTGTACAGTAATGTAATTTTAGTAGCGGCATATTATTTTATTA